AATAATAATATTTTATTAATTAAAAAATATAGAAGTTATGGTAATTTAAAAATTTTAGACTCAGATTTTAAATAATTACAAGCAATCTCTTCTATAAATCCATTAAAACCTAGGTACAATTTAGAATTATTTTTAGTTAAATTTTAATATTTATTATTTATAATATTTTTTAATATTTATAAACTTATATATATATATATATATATATTTAATTTTTATTATTAAGTTACTTATCAAAAATAAGTAACTTATTCAGTTTCATTTATTTAAAAGTATCCAGTTGATTTTTCAACTGCAAAATGATGATACAAACACGACGGTCTTATGAAATAATTTATAATGATTATATACTGTGTTACTGATTTTCTGTATGGCTAACCATAATTAGCTTTAATTAAATAAAATATATACTCTTTTATGAGACATATTATATGTAGATCCATTATTAGTTTTAGTATCAAAAGTAATATTAGGATGATTTTTTTAATCTACTTTACTAAAATGTATAGCTCATATGATGATATTAACACGACGGTCTTATGAAATATTTGTATTGATTTTATATTGTGTTACTGATTTTTAGTGTATTTACATTTTTATAAGCATTATCTTTATAAATTCTTAGCTATTATATTATTTTAATGTGTTGAATTTATGAATAGAAAAATTTATTTTAAAAATGATGATACTAACACGACGGTCTTATGAATTATTATTTATCTAATAATGATTTAACATTGTGTTACTGATGTTAATTATCTTTTATAGTTTACCTTCTGCATTATTAATAAAACAATATTTCTCTCTTTCATAGTTCTACATGTGAATAACTAATTTATATAAATTGAGTTTGTTTTTATAACACATCAAAGACTTGTATATTGACTATGTATTCTATAAAAAAATAATAATTCTTTTATTGTGGTGCATCAAAATGATATGCGTTTAAGCGTCTAGACCCCCAGTCACAATATTATTTGTCTGTAATTGAATCACTGAAAAAAAAAATTAAAAAAATGTTTAAAAATTAAAAAAAAAGTTTTGCTAATCATTTTGTCGGTGAACATTTTTTGGAACGTACAAACAATTAAGAAATTACAATGCAGATTTAATTTAAATAGTGTAGTTAATAACGAGTAGAAAAATGATAAGATTCCAGAAAGTTATTATTTTTATACTCATAATCATTTTAGTTAATATACTTTTTTTTATTATTCGGCAATGCTTTTGTAATCATTTGATTATATGGAATACTTACCTTTACCATTCAAGTTAGTCCAAGAATTGTTTTAAATAAGTGTAATTTATAGTTTATGTGTTCATTATTTAATAATTGAATAAAATAAATCTGTATTTTACACATACATCGAAGGAATAACCAAAAAGGGGCCAAGTAAAGTCTGTAGCTTACAAAAACGTAATATTTTTTAGGTTGATAGAGATTAATAAAATTTGTTTTTTGTAATCTGAAAAATAGGCTGTATCAAATTATAACATTTTTTATCCAATCAGATTAAGTTTGAACCACTTGTAAAATAATTTTGAATTGAAACAGGCTAACAAATTAATAATTAATTATTGTGACGGCCAAAAAAAAAATTTAGGTTCAATAAAGTTTTAAAAATAGATGCAATAACTTATCAGTTACAGTTATATGTTTAATATAATATAAAATAATTTTATAGAATTTTCAAGTGAATTAACTTAGAAATAAGATTCTTATTTATAAAAAAAAAATATTTAAAAATGATATATTTAATGAAAACATTAAATGATAATCGTTAACTGATTTTGTGATAGCTCTTGTAAACAATACAGTGTCATCAAACTTTGAATAGAATGATGGAAGTGAATATGTTGTCATATAATAAGTTTTACTTTTTTTGAAATGTAGTTAAAATTAATTAACTATGGTCTTTCAACAAAAAAGTTAGATTGAATTAGACTTCTTTATAAATTTGTTTGGTCCATGCAGGACTAGTTACTAATTTTGATGTTGCTAATTTAAAGATTGAAAACTCAATAATACTTAATTTCTTGGAAATCTTATATATTTATTTATTTAGATTATTAACTCTGATAATGTTAAATTAAGATATTTAATTAGAAAATGTAGTTTTAAATTAATTTAAGGCCTAGAGTTATACATGTAAATTACATAGAGTGGGGGAAAATAGCATTTCAGCTCATTATATATGTAATATATAAAACAATATTAATAGTTAGAATGTCATGTTTTAGAAAGTCATAAGTTAAGTACTAAGAAAAATATTTTCAATGGGCTAGTTTTTTTTTTTTTTTTCAATTAAAATTATAGATAAAACAGTATACATTTTCAGAAAGTTGAGCTTGGTGGAATATTATCTTTTTTTCTTTTTAGTGATATAATATAATCAAAAATATTTACTACAATTATTATTCTAAATATTTTTGAGTTATTATAATTTTGCAAACGTAGACAACTACCAAATGGCAGCGGGGATGAGCCAGATTGAACGAGTTTTTATACATCAAACTATACTTTCTTAATTTATATAGAACATAGAAAATTGTTTTAAAGTTATTATACTTAAAAACTATTAATTATATAATTTGAATTTGAACTTCATGTTCATTTTCTTATTATTTTTAATATTTATAAACTTAATTTTAATTAACAAAAAAAATCTTATTCTCTTGTGGATAATTTAATGGAAAGTTAAAAAAAAATATGTATTTTTTATATATAGTAGTTAAATAGCAAAATGTTTACATATTTCACCATCATCATATATAATGAAATAAATTTCAATTCTATCTTATTTATATTATTTAATAATACAAGCTCAATATTTTAGGCAATTGATGGAACTTACATTGACAAAAAATGCCCATTCACTGGTAATGTTTCTATCAGAGGACGTATTCTAACAGGAGTCGTACGTAAAATGAAAATGCAAAAGACAATTGTTATTCGAAGAGATTATTTACATTACATCAGTAAATATAACCGTTTTGAAAAACGTCACAAAAATATGTCTGTTCATTTATCTCCTTGTTTCCGGTTTGTTAAAATAAAAAAAATTGATTAATGTGTATACTAAATTTGTTATTAAAAAATAATGTTATTCATAGGGATGTAGAAATTGGAGATATTGTCACAATTGGTGAATGTCGACCACTAAGTAAGACAGTCAGATTTAATGTGTTGAAAGTAACCAAAGGAACAGGTGCCAAGAAAGGTTTCAAAAAATTCTAAGTTTAAATGTAATACTATTGACTATTATTATTTACAATAAAAACTGGAAAACCAAATGTTGAAGTTTTTTTTTTTTTGTGTTTGTCTATTGTTTAATGTTTATATGATGCCGAGTATAGAGCTGAAAAATAATATTTCTTCGTGAATGGTGGTAATCAGTGTGATTAATAAATAATCAGTAAATACAATTCAGTAGATTATATCTTAAATCTGATTTTTTACAAAAACGGAAATTTGAATTTTTTTTGTCAATTGTCTAGTAAAATGTTTTCTTTAGCATATCAAAAAATTGTGAGAAAATTTTAACAGAAAAGATTGTTTTTCAGACAAAAAGTTTCTTTTGTTCTCCTAAATTGGAAAATAACAATAAGTTTTATTTTTGATTGGAATATGATTTTATAATTAGTTATTAAAAGAATTGAATATTTTAAAGTAACTTTGAAAAATAATAGAATAATGTATTGAATTGCTACATGATTATTGTGAGTTAATATACGACTCGTATCTGTAATGAAAGAATCATATCAACCTATGTAATAAAATTATGAAGTGCTTGTTAAGTATGTTATTATTACAACTTGACAAGTTTTAAATACAAGACTAAAAGATTTAATAATTCTTAAGTGAAAAATTGAAATAGTAAAAAAATCAAAACTTGATAAAAGCATACAATAAAATATATACGCGCAAATTGGGTAGTTTGGAAAAGCTTAGGCTCTCAAATATTTAAAATATCTCTTCCTTAAATTCAGTAAAATTAGTATTGTTTCATAAAAATATATTTTTGAAGGGGAAAATTTATATGATTTACATTACAAATTATATTAATTATAAAGCCATAACAAATTTATGTCTTATGATATTTTATTTCCGTTGTAATAAAGAAGCTTTTAAATTGAAGGTTGCATCAACGTTCTTTTTATATTTTATACAATTTTACTATTATAATATGATTTCCATACTTAGTTTTGTCATTTTTATCCCACTAATATGATATATATATATAATAGATGATAATTAATAATATAACTTGAGTATGAGAAATATTTATGCATTCCATCATATTTGAAGGAAAAATTGTTTTTGATTAGACATTTTATAAAACTACCTATGTTCCATATTATTATAAGAGTAAATTACATTAGACTAAAATATTATTTTGTAATAATGCACAAATGAATCACAGCGGAGTCTTCTGATCAATTTCATTGTGGGGGGGCGGGTTAAATTAAACTAACTAGCTTGAAAATAATTGGCGCAAATATTGTTTTAAACTTGGTAGCAGGATACTTAAAAAACATCTCTACAACATAAGTAAACAATTAAAAATATCCTATTAGATTCGTGAAAATGTTGGTATTCTAAAAATAATTAAACCGTAACAATTCTTTTTAGAGGTGCTTTATTTCCAAAAATCCCTAACATTTTTCCTAGCTACTCTCCATATATTGTATCCAGCCTTATTTTGATCTATTGATAAATGTTACCTACCTGTGTGGGATGTAAAATAAATTGTATTAATATTCATAGTAATAATAGAATAATGTAATAAATTTTATAGTATTTAACGAAAAGAACACTTTTTAACAACTCATATTAAGACAAAAGTAACTTGTATCAATTTTTTATTTATAACTTTAAAACCTTACATAGAAAAGTCAAGTTGAGCAATTACATTAATTTGAAAAAAAATATATATGCATTATACATTATTTTAAGTTAGTAGAGTTACAGGTATACACATTATAATTTGTGATTCATTAATGATAAGGGAGAGTAATCGCTCACAGGACTATTTGAAAATAACAATAAAATCCTATTAAATATTTTTTTTGCAAGTTTAGACTAAACTCGCATAAACCATACTTGAAGGGAAACAGGTTATTTTTAACGTGAAAATAATTTGATAGGTCCGTAAAAATATATTGCACCAGACCCTGCGATTTCTAGCGTTGTGTCTGACAGAGAGGTACTAAGTTATCAAGAAGATGCGAAGAACAAAGTATCCAACGCACATGTTAACTATAAATTCTTCCAATATCTTTGTAGTGGCAGTTTTGAGGGGAGATGCATGCCCCAACCTTAAACTATCATTTTCTACTTAAAAAAAGTATTTTAAATAATAAAATAAGCAAACAATTGACTTTGACGTCTAAAAACTTTTTGTGGCCCTTCTTAAAAAAATTTTGTATCCGCTTTGCAATGGTTATAAATATAAAATTGTAATAATATGTTCAAGGAAACTTTGATGAATTAAAAATATTTTATATTTATTTTATATGATTATTTTTATTTTATTTTATTTTATATGATTAAGAATATTTTGAAAATCAGCACAATCATAATTTTTTAGTTATCACATCTTGCCAATACAAAACTTAATAATTTTGCATATCGTACACGTGTATACATCGGCTGCCATCGCAATTCTATGGCGACGTAGACTCTGTGGGAGCACGTGATCCGCCACAAACGCATACACCAACAAAATTAATATTATTGTTAATTTACCCGCACACTTCACCGCATTCGACGTTAGCGTTTGTCGTAATAACGGCGTCGTCCCGCTCAGGTGTCAGTCGGTCGTCAGACGACGTTAGAATTTATTCGTTTTTAAAGTTAAATTTGCTTATTACGTAACTCGTGTTTTAATTTCGGTTACTTATTGTAACTTTTAATTATTTTTTTCTCTTTGAAATATAAATTAACTTTATTTGTTTATTATTATTGATATTTTATTTTTTGTTAATAACATTTATTCGATTGGTTCTCGTGCACACAGTTTGAAAATCAAGTGTTCATTTTGTTTTTAACGAATAATTATTGTGTTCAGATATGTTTTTTAACGACGACTATGTGACCGTTTCAATTGGGTAAATTAAGTTTCTTATTTTAATTTATTATGTAATATCGTGCCCTCACTGGCAGCTTTAATTTTGATTCTGGTGGTCTATGGTACAATTTTTTAACAATGGCCTATATTGTTTGGAGAGTTGTCAGAAAGAAATATCAGAAAGTCAGAAATGGAATCGCTCTGAACATAATGACGGTGAGTACGCTTTTTGACTTCACTTTGGCTTGTTCTGTATTATGTTTATGAAATTTTATGTTGACTAAATATTTTTTATCTTTACTACGTATGCGAAGTGCCTACAGCGAAACGTTCGACCCGAATAGCCGTGTGTTCAAAATTTATTGTAAATAGGTTTGGTAGTAGGTTTAGTAGGTACATATAAGTAAACCTACGCTATTGGTATTGATGTCCATGTTTAAAAGGTATTGGTGTGTTTTATAGTAACATGTGCGTTTGTATGAGGCAACAAGGACGGATCAAATTTGATAGAATACTCATATTAATGTAAAAAACGTTGATTAGAGTAGGTACGGGTGTTAACATTGATCCTTATCACAAATTTAATTTAAGTTAATAATTGTAAGCTAGTTATTTTAATATCGTTATGTTCGGTTATTTGGTATTTTTTGTATTATTGAAGTCGAGTTTACTTCTAATATTGTATTCTTTATCGTAATGCAATAGCATATTTATAATTTATTCAAACTGTTGGCTGTAGATTTTAATTTTACTTCGTTTAAAACATATATTTTGACTATATAAATGTAGGTTGTTATTTATATTTTGTTAAGAACATTTTAATTGAGACTGGGTGCTACTGTTCTTCGATAATAGTTAACTCTCTATGAGCTTCAATTATTATTTTTATAGAATTCTTTTAAATAGTTTATAATTGTGTATTTATATAACATAATTGGTTATTGGGAAACTAATTACTAGACATGCGTAGCTTTAACTAACTGGATGTTCGTTAAGCAGCCGTTTGTTTACCGTGTAATTAGAACAAGGGCTTCATTGCGGTTTTTTCGTAATTTATTATCTGCAAGGTTTTTAAAAGCAAATATGACTTTCGGTTAAAAATATGATTCCTATATAGGCAATATGCTCGCACTCAGATTGTAATTTTATTACATATTGTTCCTTGAATTTCGTGTGTATTAGAGTTAACACTCAGGATATAGTTTGTAGTAAAATAGATGTCCCGGTAGTTTGAAGTGTACAGTTTATTATTATTCTCTATTTTATTTTAAAATATTTATCTATTTTATGAATTTTCTTAGGCACATTTATTTACTGTCATCAGCATAAATGTAATGTGATAAAATAATAATGTTTTAAATGTACATAATTGCAGTACTCTGAAATATAAAATATCAATTCAATAGTAATATTAATTTATTTTAATGTTATAATAAAATTATAATTGTTTAAAAATCAGTAGTAAAGTGATTTTTAGTACTCGTTGCAATTAAGTGAACTTTTTAAAAATGTATTGGTACTCATGTGTCATTCTAAGTATTTGGTTATCATAAACGTAATCTGGGAGGCATATACGGGGTTTAGCCCTCCTATTCTGTCGTAGCCTCACAAAAATTATGAAAATTATATGTAAATTTAAATAGAAATATTTTTATGGAGGAGGAAAATTAAGTATTTTGAATATTTTGTTTAAATTGCGTCTATGTTGATTATCATTTAAATGATGTGATAATAAAATACTAGTAAAGTTAAACCATTTGTTTAGTCTGTTGTTAATATGATATTGCACACTACCAATAGTTTTCCCGTTTGTTGCTGTTATGCAATTGAATTTATATATTATTGTTGTGGTTTGTTCAATGTACAATTGCACCATTTTGTCTGTTGGTTAAGAACACAATGAAGACGTAGGATTGCAGGAGGTCTTCTAATTCAGGATGAGTGACTAACAGGTTTACGTAGGCTATATGTATGTAGGTATGATGAATAAGACCAGGCACAATGTGCATTACAAGAGGTACGGAATGGATGCTTAGGTATTATGTGCATTGTGTCAAACTTACAGTTTTGTCAAATCTGATAATTACTTTTATCAACTTGTTCATTTCATTTCCGTGTGTTTTTTCCGCCTTGTGCTTGAATTTATATAGTTAAAAATTAAATCTCAGACATAGAATTAAGTAATTACTATTTAAAATTTTCTCTTGCACTTCTCCGGTCGTACAAGCTGAAATTGACGTGTACTAATCGTACAACATTAATAAATAGTCTTGTACACTTAAGAACTTAAGATTGTATTGTATCCGTCTTCTTAAAGAATACCGCCTGTTTTTAATAATTGACACGGCCCAACAATAAAAAATGGCCAACTAGTTTCTTTATTTGTTTTTATTGCCTCGGGATAAATTAATTTATGCTTATTGATTGAAAACAATGCAAGTAACAAGGAGTGTTGTAAATTAATCAATATATTTCTCTAAGTATAATGTATTGTTATTCTTAAAAATTAGCTTCCAGTCCAGTTCATCCCTATGCTCCACATTGCAAGTTCAGATTATATTTAATTTTTTTCTATTTGTCATTTAAACAATAATTTAACTTTCATTGTATAAAAAAATATAATTTTGTTTTAAAAAGCTAGATATTCTGAAAATTTATTCCATCTAAGAGGTGTTAATGACTTAAATTTTTTACAGAAATTGTGTCAATCATACATAGTTATAGAATTAGGTTTCGTTTTTTTTATATATACATTAACAGATAAAACAATAAAAAAATTTTTTTATAAATATTTTATGTTTACGCCTCTCATTCAACATATAATATTCAAAACTATATTCCTTATAGTTATACCCTTTAGCTCTTTATACTATACATTCTATAATATACTAATTTTCATAAATATTTTAAAATTATTACGATTTTTTCCGATGATGTGTTATTAAATTTCATTCAATCTAGATTTTTTTGGTTATTTTTTTTTTTTTTACCAATTAGTAATAATTTAAAAAATTAGAGGCATAGAAAAAATCTAATTGTATATTTGAAATTAGCACAAAAATTTCAAGTTAGATAATGTATATTTTTGTCACTAATGAGAATTCCTCATAGATTCAATCCGAATTATTGTAAATTACTTTCTAAATAGTTTTGTATTAAGCACTGTAATTTTTATAAACGTTGTCATAGAACTAATAAAATATACAGCTTTTTATAATTTTTTAATTTTTATATAAAATTTACAATTTTAAATTATCGAATATGAATTTCATATTAAGATTAATTATTAAAATTAAAACTATAAATTACTAAGTATTTATTTGCATATTTATCATAATACTTGTATTCAGGATATAACTAAGGAAATAAGAGTTCATTGAAGCGTGTTTCTTATGATAATGATTTTAAACACTGCTAGATATCTATTTTACTTGTCTCCACTGTACACGACCCCACTGTGATACGGGTTTTAAATTAATGTTTCTCAACAAACTATTAAAAAAAAAAAACAGTAAGTGATTCCATTATTTTTCTATTCTGAGTACTAATATAATCCAGTTTTTGCCTCCTTTTTGTTTTTTAGTAATGTGTAAACTTTTATGGTAAAATAAAACTACTATGCCTATAAAAAAAATGTAACTTTTCATTTCTTAGAATATAATATGTAAGCTGTTGTTATTTAAGCCAAAAAATAAAAATAATTTAACTAAAAATGATCCTTATAACTTATGTAAGGTAATATCTTTAATGAATATATTATTACAAAATCAAATTAACACTATTATTATAATAATTCTTTGCCCAAGGTCTTAGGAGTTGAGTGTTTCCAAAAGCTTTTTGATTTCCCATTGTTCTTCATTTCAATTTTGTGTAATATGTAAATCTAAATATATTTAGTAGTAAAAATGAAATAAAGATTGAATGAGTTTTACAGTTATGATTAAGAATAGTAAGAGATATGACGTAAATGTCTAAATAACCAAGTAATATTAATTAGGTATGACATTCAAACTAGTAGCTGTGAGATATTTCCTTTAATTCATCTCAAATTTTCGATGTCGATTGTTTCTGTAGTATAACTTTTCGACTATCCATTGTATGCGTATAGTAAACAAGTTTGGTTATATCAAGTTACATTCAGCATACATCTATTTGATGTTTGTAAAAATCTTGAATTTTGTTGAATATATATATATATGACGTTTGCTGCTTACATAAAAATTAAATGTTTTATTTATTTATTTTTTAGTATTTTATAGAAAATCCTATTCAATGTGAGAAAAACATGATATTTTTAACTCCATTAAGTAATCATGTTTATTTTTTTTGTGTTAAATAAAATGTTCTTTGTAAATATTCATAGAAGAATATAATTAAATGACTAGTGTTTTGAGAATAAGATAAAAATTAAGTATTTTTTTGTATCAATAAGACTAATTACTAGATGGGTATATTTTCATTAATTTAATAATATACTATTGTATAGAAGTATAAATATATAAAATAATATAATAATGTATAAATATAGTTAACCTATGTTAATGTCACATATATAAAATATCCTATTATATAGTTTAATTTTAGTATTAATGATGAATAGAATTTTAAAAGTGAAATAGTGTGAGTAGAGATTTTTGTATCATTTTATTTTTAAAGAAGGCGATTCTAAAAAATAAAAACAATAATGAAGAATATGAAGTAAATACTTTTCGATCAATCTAACCCATTAAGCATTTAAGAATTTAAATTTAATTATTAAAATAAAATTTTTAAATATAGCTAGAATGTAGAAAGTAGGAATCAAAAATTTTATAGCATTCAAAAATTAAAATGCTAAATATAATATTTATAGTTAATAATTTTTCTGTGAATATCAACTAGTTTTGGAGTTAAGTACTTTTTATTCGTATTTGTTTAAATAATTTTTGGTTACACATTTTGAAAACAATATAATTCTATGGATTAAGACTAATTAAATATTTGAGATAAATTCATATGTTGATTTTAAATATATTAAAAAAAAAAAATCATTTAGTATTTTAATTCAATTACTATTATATTATTTTAAATATGAACTAAACTGTATTCAATGTTCATTTGATGTATTTGATTATATTAAAAATAGTTTAACACAGTCGTAACACGTCGTGTGTGGAGATAGACTCCGAATATTACTACAATCATTCATGTTATTAGCTAAGTATAAAAGTTTATTA